GGCTGCCGCACCTACGGAGAAGCCTGGCGTGCCGAAGGCTTCTCCTCTCCACGGCGTGTAGCAAGTGATGCTGGGCAGCAGCGTGTGCCAAGTGTAAGCGCGCATTAAAAGCAGGCCTTGCTCAGCTGCAGTGTGGTGGTCTCTTCCCTCCTGAGCGCAGGGCGTATTCCTGGGAGCACAGGAAAGCGAGGCTGGGATTTTTACGAGCCTCGGGACACTTCAAGGGTATCTTAGTTTCTTTTCCTGTGTGGTAAGAGCCCAGTTTCTGCTTCTTTATCAGAGGGAAGTAGTAAGTCACTGCAACAGGAAAGCAGCAGAGCATTGCCAGAGATGTTTCAAAATGCTTCAAAGATGTCTCAACAAGGCACACGCGCTGTAGAGCCTTTTACCTTAGTGCTTTTAAAATGATTTTCTTCTGTGTAAAAGGGCTGCAACAAAAGTCCCCAGTCCCCCAAAATGTTTGGCTGGCTCTGGTGGCTATGAATCTGTTTAGCTGCTCCGGAGTCTGTTTAGCTCTGGAGCTTTATTGCTGTTTTTACAGTCCCTGAAGGACACGCTCTTGTCTTTGAAGCGAGCGCTTACTTGGGAGCTAGGTCACTGCGGAAGGTGGGAGATGAGCCCGGACGCTGCTGCTCTCCCACGGCCACAGCTCGCAGGCAAAGCTGCTTGCAGGGTTTCTCTCCTAATTGCAACCGTTAGGACTGGGCTGAGGAGGGACAACGTAACTTTTATGATCTTGAAAGTGGATCAGAACAGTCTTCTAGACAGTACTTACATTAAAGTTTTTCCTGGGCAGTAGCTTAAACTGTTTGTTAATGTATCACTATTACTATAATTACTGTGCTATTTTTATCAAATGGTGGGAGCTTTGACTGAATCTGCATTTCAAATTGGACATTAAGGGCTAACATGAGGAAAACTTGGTTAAAATCAAGCTTCGCCAGAGCCCTACTGATGCAAAAACACTGCTGGTTTGCAGTGATTTCTCTTGTTCCCTTGGCAGCCCTCCTTGCCCTTCTCTTCCCTGTGAGATTTGGAGGATCACAAATCTCTGCCAAACTGTGCTCACACAGAATACCCCAAATATCTGTAGAAGCTTTAAGGAAAAGAATTGCAGAGCTTGGATATTCTGCTTCGTTTGTTTCTGTAGGGAGAAACTGTTTCTGTTGGATTCTTCCAGGTGTCTCTGGAGCTGTGTGTGAGGGACTCGAAGCTGGCTCTCTTCTTCAGAGTGAGCTGATTGTCTGCTAGAAATTTGTTCTTAATGCAGCTGTTTTCACAAAGCGACTGCTCCTCTACGGGTATCAAAGAAAACCACACAGGGCAGGGTGGGTCCCCATGAGTGACGCGGTGGTTTGGGCAAACAGGGCAGGAGCAGGTGCATGATTTGAAGAAGATCCTTTTTTTTCTTTCTCTGTGGTGAGGAGCCCTCCCAGGTTAGGCACTAACGCGTTAACGTGTGTGTTGTGGTATCACCGAGAGCAAACAGAGCTCTGGTCCCGCTCCTTTTGAAGGTCATGAGTAATACGGCTGGAAGCAAAACGGCGACAAACATACAAACATATGGGGAAAAGACTGGGAAAAATCTGCCCACAGGGGGGCTTCATTTGGTGTCAAGGAGAGGCAAATACTGCAAATCATTTAGTTGGGTTTAAATGTTGCATTTGCAGGTTAAATTTTAATTTTTAATAGAGTCCAAGTCCAGGTTTCCTGGTGGTGTGTGACTAAGCTGCAGTCGTAAGTGCCAAGGAAACCGCTCCTTCAAGGGCATTTGCAGCAATTCCTCTGTTTACTTTGCGACGTACTCAGAGGCAAACGCAGGAGCGATCCCATGGCCTCCCCACAGCAGCACGTGCTGCGGCCGGATGGCAACGGGGGACTAAGGTCAGACACGCATCCACCGATGCTGCCGGCAACGGGCTGGTTACCAAAACAGTCTGTGCTGGTTTTGCTGGAGCTCGTGGGAAGGCATCTGGGACATCAGCAGGGCAGCGAT